GATATGAGTCATATAAGGTACCACTGAAGGTTTTATGGAATCAGGAAGTATATTTTTGTAAGTTTTATGGGTATGGTCCTAAACTATCATATTTAGTAAGTAATTTTTTTCTCCAGTTTACTTTCCATCTGAGAGTTATCATAAAATCTCTTGAAGTTTGACTTATGACATCTCTTTCAACTGTTATTTTCATATTATGGAGCTTTTATTCATGATTTGTTTCCTAATATTTTTGTGGGTAAAATCAGGGGTGGTAATTTTCTTACTTCTAGATAGAAATGGTATTTACTGATTGCCTGTGTTGAAAATAATCCTGTCTTTCCAAGCTCTCCTATTCATCTATTCATTTTGTGAAATGCCTTATTCCCTGGGTTGCTATTTATTATTTAAATCTGATTTTTTTCTATGTAAACTTTGCCTCTAATTATATTGTGCAATGAGGCTTGAGCAGATGACTTCTGTCATTTTATAACTTTCTGCATATGCCCTTCCTTCTCCATGAATTTTAAGAGCCCATGTTTCTGGGTACAATGATAAGGTTCATGGTCATTTTCTTTCTGTACTCTAAATGTATCCTTCCAGTGTTCTCCTGGCGGTAGAAATATTCACAAGATTTCTGGTATCCTTTTGGCGTTGGGGGAATCTTTTTATATGGTGTCACATTGACCATAACACAGCTTTATTACTTTCAGATTTCTGTTTTTGAAAACAGGATGTGAAATTTAAACAGGAATTCCAGTATTTTTTTCCTGAGAAACTCAGAGAAGAGCAACAAGAACAATGGATGCTTCTGTGGCAAATATTCCCCAGGTCAGTGTCACGTTCAGGTTTCTCTAAAAATTGTTTTTATTATTGAAAACATTCAAAATTTTAATCATCTACCACTGGCAATGTTATTGAAAGTGTTTATTTTTTACTTATTTATTTATTTTTCCTTTTCTTTTATTTCATTTTTTTGAGACAGGTTTTTTCTATGACTTTTGAGGCTGTCCTGGAACAAACTCTTGTAGACCAGGTTGGTCTCAAACTCACAGAGATCCGCCTGGCTCAGTTTTTTTTTTCTTTTCTTATATTTAAAGTTATGTTTTTCAGTCTTTCAACTATGGATCTTAGACTGGACCGATTGTATTTTCTCTTGGTTTTCTAATATCAATCTATGAATTTACATGGACTTTACAGTTGTAGTATAAAACACAAGCTATTGTAATGACATTCAAGGAAAATATCGATGGCCATTTTGTACATGGAATGGTCTTGTGTTCTTTTATAATAGTTATGAAGGATGGTCTCCTGTGCCACATACTTGCATTTTTGAAATGGATATTTTTCCAGAAAAAGTCTTATGAACACGGACACGCCAATACATGGACCTTTTCACTGACACCACTGAGCAACTTATTGAAAAGTAGAATTAAAAGAGACTCACTGTGTAGAGCCCTAATGGTAAATATTTTAGCACCCTAGGGCACACAGATAATGGAAGTAATATGTGGCTTCCCTTTCCAGAAAGTTGGAAGTGTCAGTAAGGAGATAAAGTTTGCAGTATTCTGGTTTCTCTTTTTGCAATAACGTGTCACACAGGGATACGGGGTTTATTGACAATTGTAGTGTATGGCTCTCAGGAGAGATTCTGTTCATAGTCAATGGGTAGCTCTCTTTAGAAAATTCTTACTTTTTCTTTATCTTTTGTTTCCTTCTTCACAAGGGGCATTAGCACCTTTATCTCCTCATTTATATGGCATTATGTGGGATATATTAATAAGAATTTTCTAGAGAGTACTGACTTGGTGCTGCACATAAGCCATCAATTGTCAAGCATGAGCAAATGTCCCTTTTAATTACATTACTCTTTTCTTTTGGAGGAAAAAAAGGCCCTCTCTAGCTTATGTTTTTCCTCTCGCTGAAGGTTTATTTTACACAGGTAGAAATTTTGAAGCATTGTGTCCATGTTCCTATTTTTTCTTTACAATCATATTTTACTTAAGTATATGAGTATTTGTTTGCATATTTCTATTGACAGTGTATGATGCATTATGTTGCTGGATCCCTGAGGTGAGCACCAAACCCTTGACACTGAAGTCAGACATTGTAGTCATTGCCATGTGTTTAGAGAGAGATAAATTAGGTTTCTCTGGAGGAGATGGTGTACAGCTGTGACATTATATAACCCTGTGTATTCTAGTTTTTGAATAACAACTGAGTAATCATAAATGATACGTGTCTACCCTAAAATCCTGTTAGATGAATTAGCTCAAATACTGAAGAGAAAAATAAAGTTGAAATTAAGAGGTTTGAATATTCATTTGAGTCAATCCCATGAACAATAATATATTCAAAATTAATGAAAAGTTAGAATATTTCTCATTCTATGGAATACATTTCTTTTGGTAACAGAAAACATTTATAATTTTTCTGAATGCATTCTCACATATGCCTTGTTTTTACACACACGTGCGCGCACACACACACACACACACACATTATATATATATCCTTATTCAGTAATGGAATTCATGCAATTGTTATTTTCAGTATTGATTGTGTCAACTTGTAGAAAAATTGAGATAACATCAGTGTTGTCTAATTCTGCTTTTCTATTTACTTCTTGATTTAAATATTCCTCATGAAATAGCTTCACAAAGTATTTGGTTCTATGTGTTGTTTGGAGCATTGGAGATATATGCAATGATTTTACGCACCTTACTCTGAAAAAAATCTGAATTGAATTCATCCATGGATTCTGCATTCCATATCCTACCTCTTTTTCTAGGCAGGGTGCAGATGGTACCTAGGCCTCAGGATCTGAACTGAGCATTTTGGAAAAGAGTCATGTGAACCCAGCTTCAGACAGCATTGATCTAGTGTGCATATTTATGCAAGGTTGACAGGTGTACAATATCAAAGCATACTTTTACTGACTATAAATTTAACATTTGGGATGTGACAATGAGATTCAGTTTGATATCAGCATGTGTTTCATAAGGTACATTTCTGCATGTAGACCTCAAATTTTTATGGTATATTCCCTAAAGGTTTGCTGGTTGCAAGATTATTATGTCGTCCTGTTTTCACAGAAATGGAAAGTACAATAGATTCTGAATAGCTTACTTAGAAAGCATCTGTTTTTTAAATTAAATTGTAATTTTATTTTATATATTTTCCGGAAATTATGTGTACTGTGTATGACTGCTGCCTATAAGGTGTGTTATTGCATCTCATGGATCTGGGAGTAATTTCTGTTTTCTTGAGACATGAGCGTGCTGGGAATTAATCTACACTTTCAAGGACTTTAAGACACTACAGACTGCAAACCAGAGAAACATTTTTCAAATTCAATAATTGTGGCAAATCTCTTCTCTGCTACTTAGGTCTTAGAAAATTCATGGATGAGAGAGTCCCAGGGATGTGAGCCATGTATTATGTCTTCCTGTACATTGTCTTTGAAACATCAACAATGCAGCACTTCTAGAAAAGTCTTGTCTGTTAAAAGGTGCCATGCCTCATCTATATCACAGACATCTCTCTAATTCATTAGGTCTGTTTAAGCAAGAAATCATTTTGTGCAGCAGTGCATGGTAATTAGGTAATTTTCCATCGCAGGGTCTGTTATCGTTCAGGGATGTGTCTGTGGACCTCTCCCAGGAGGAATGGGAATCTCTAGACTGTGCTCAGAGGGCTTTGTACATGGATGTAATGTTGGAGAATTATGGCCATCTACTTTTTGTGGGTAAGAGTTCACTTCTCTTAGGATTCCTGTTTCATCCTTCTTATTTCCCTACTTTGTTTATCTATAAACTCTCTGAAACTAGAAAATCCTAGAAATGTGTGAAATTTTCGTTACTAACAAAGCTTTTTATTGCTGCTTCATTTACATTTTCTGTGTTCTCTAGAAGAGTAAAGAATGCTTTGTTCTCTGTGATCTCTTTAGCCCTCCTATGTAATATACAAGGAACATTTCAAAATCCAAGACTATTGTTTTCTCCGGGCATGGAAATACATTGTAGTACTTATCATAATTAGAATGTTTTAAAATTTTTACTGGATTTAACTCTTCACCTATTTCTTATTATAAAAAATGCAAAAGTTTTTTGAGGAGGGGTTGTTGGTCGTGAGAACGTTGTTTTGTTTCTTTATTTTTGAAATATAATTGCTCTGTTTAGTACTGGCCCAGCATGATTTTAATATTTCCACTTTGGAGCCTGAATCAGGAGGTCGGATAGTTTCCTGCAAATCTGAGTTATGAATTCCAGGTTATGTGACTCTGTCTCAAGACATAACACATAGGGAATCATTCTTCATATGATCTTACACAGAGCTCTTTCTTTTTTACTTCCTAAATACCTATGTATCTGACCAGCTGCAAGGGACAGTGTTTACAGAAGAATGAGAAGGCTATACACCGGAATGACCTGTAAAACATTTTTTGAGTTTGGTCTATTTGTGTGACTTGTAGCAGTGGGATCAAAACCTTTCCCTAATGCTTTGGCTTCCTATTGGGAAACTATTCCTCAGAATTGGTTGCTTCAAACATCTTTAATACAAATGAAGGAGCTTAGATGTACCTCAACCTCATATGCTACGCTTTGTTGACACCCATGTGACGCCTGCCTCTTTTAGAACACAAATAGAGGAAGAGTTGTTGGGTACATGAATGTGAGGCAGGACTAGGGAACAGGAAGAATGGAGGGAAGGGAAACTCCAGTCAGTATGTCAAATAAATTAAACAAAACAAATGGAATACAAGAATGAGTAGGCTATTATTTGTCTCTGTGGTTTGATATAGATCAGATTGGAGATTCTTATGACCATCCATTTCGTGATTGTCAAACAGAAATTTCTTCTGTTAGGAATGCTGTCCCTGGAAGTTACTAGTCTATATGTCATAGAAAACCTAAGAAAACATGTGGAATTGAAACTGTTATTCTTGCTTTAATTGCTATTCTCCAATTTGTACTAATTTTTCAGAGAGCCATCGAATATGCGGTAACGGTGAGAAGGCCATGCACCAAGGCACAAGGCATTTTATCCATGATCATGAAAATATTCAAGAGAAGTATTATACATTTAATGAGTCTGCCAAAGAGATTCATGAATCCTGCCAATGCACACATTATGGCACAAGTAATGCTGCTGAAAATTACAAGAACTACAGATTTGGTAACCATAGAGATGCCTCTAATGAAGCCTTAAACCTCGACACACCAAAAATTGGGAACACAGGGAAGGAACCTTACAAATATAAAGACTGTGGAAACTTTTTATATATGTGTTCCAAAATTAGCCAAAATCAAAAACCTCACACAGGAAAGCAAGACTACAAAAATACAGAGTATGAAACATCTTTTGAGTCTAATACAGAAACCAAAGTGAAAAACACTGATTGCAGAAAGCATCCTCATCAATGCATGGAATGTGGAAATCATTTCAAGACTCACTCAAGCCTTACTATGCATCAGAGATCCCATACTAGAGAGAAACCTTATAAGTGTACAAAATGTAATGAATCATTCCTGCAGTTTTCACAATTCAATGTACATTACAGAATCTGTTGTAGAAAAAATCCCTACAAATGTACAGAATGTGGTAAGTGCTTTTATTATTTATCAACGTTTCAAACACATTTCAGGATCCACACAGGAGAGAAACCTTACAAATGTAGTAAATGTGGCAAATCCTTAACTACAAAACACAATCTTATAATTCATCAGAGAATCCACACAGGAGAGAAACCTTACAAGTGTAGTGAATGTGGCAAATCCTTAACTACAAAACACAATCTTAGAAATCATCAGAGAATCCACACAGGGGAGAAACCTTACAAATGTAATGAATGTGACATATCCTTAATCACAAAACACAGTCTTATAATTCATCAGAGAATCCACACAGGAGAGAAACCTTACAAATGTAGTGAATGTGACAGATCCTTAACCACAAAACGCAATCTTAGGAACCATCAGAGAATCCACACAGGAGAGAAACCTTACAAATGTAGTGAATGTGAAAAATCCTTTTCCAACAAGGACAATCTTAGAATTCATCAGAGAATCCACACAGGAGAGAAACCTTACAAATGTAGTGAATGTGAAAAATCCTTTTCCAACAAGGACAATCTTAGAATTCATCAGAGAATCCACACAGGAGAGAAACCTTACAAATGCAGTGAATGTGACAAATCGTTTTACAAGAAAGACCATCTTAGAAGTCATCAGAGAATCCACACAGGAGAGAAACCTTACAAATGTGGTGAATGTGACAAATCCTTAACCTCAAAACGCAATCTTAGAAACCATCAGAGAATCCACACAGGAGAGAAACCTTACAAATGTAGTGAATATGACAAATCGTTTTCCAACAAGGACAATCTTACAGCTCATCAGAGAATCCACACAGGAGAGAAACCTTAAAATGTAGTGAAAATGACAAATCCTTTTACAAGTAAGACAATCTTAGAACTCATCAGAGAATTGACACAGGACAGAAACCTTAAAAATGTTGTGAATATAACATCATTTACTACAAAAGACTATCTTAGAAGTCATCAGAGAATACAAATATTTGAGAAAATTTAGAACTGTGGCATGCTTGAGAAATCCTTTACTGTTGTTTCCAAGTCTTAGAATATGTTCTGGAAGATTTAAGCATAATGTAAAACTGGAGTTTTAAGAATATCAAATTTGCTTAAGTGGGTTCAACCCAGGAGTGTTGACAGCAATTAGCCATACAGTGTACGAAGCAGTGTGAAGACACAAAGGAAGTTGTAGGGTGTGACTTGAGTCTTTGGTCTTTTCTGGTTTGAGATGGTAGAAGAAACACTCTCTTGCAGGGTCTCTTTCAAAAAAGGAAGGTAATTTGATTTCTTCTTGACCTCACTGAACTTACAGGTTTTTGCCCCAGCATCTGACTCATAGTCATCTTAGAATACATTAGAGAATTCATTCAGAGAGAAACCTTACAAGTTTATTTATTTTAGTTTTCATTTTATTGCTCTGAATAGAAACCTTGACCATAGCAATGCTTTTAAAGGAAAACATTTAATTTCCATTCAGAAGAAAATTAAATCTGAAAATTAGTCCATTATCATCATGGTGGCAAACAGAGACATGCAGGCAGATATTGTAGTAGAGAAGAACCTGAGACATTGTCTACATTTCATCCTTGAGCAGCAGAAAGTGAACTGTGGGAGAGCTTGGCTTAAGAATATATGAGACCTGCCTTGATGGTGACACACTTGTTCCTACAGGGCCATACCTAGTCAAACTAGGCCATACCTCCTAATAGTGCCTCTTCCTATGGGTCAAGCATTCACACAGGAGCCCTTGGGTCTATACCTATTCAAACCACTATAGAAGTCAACATGGGAAGCGTTTGGTCACAAAGTCATCCTGATAACATGCCCATGCATTCATATGGGAGTGAAAACTTTAAAATGTATTATACACACAGAAGTCTTTACCAGCCTCTCAGGTCTAGGAACTTGAGATTTCACACTAAGGGGTCATTATGAACATGAAAACTTGTGAAAGATTTCAGGTCATTTTCAAATGTTAGAAAGCATAAACACTTTGGACAGTTTTCACTAAAACTTTATTGGTTCAAACTCAAATGCTTCATCATGAAGATGAAATGCAGAAACTTACGTATGGAGCCCTTTTCCTATGGTGGAATATCTTGCTCAGCCCTAATAAAGGGGTGAGAGGATTGGTCCTGCCTTAAGTTTGTAAACCAGACTTTGTTGACTCCCCAAGGAAGGCCTTAAACCCTCTGAGGTGTGGATGGGGATAGGATGGGGGAAGAAAAGGGGAGGGAGAGGGAACTGGGATTGCTATGTAAAATGAATAAATCTTAAAAAAGAAAAGAAAAATGGTTCATCTGTATTTTTGTCAATTCACAGAAACAAACCGTTGCCTTTACTCATTATATTGTATTTACATTTCTATTTTGTTAATTTCTAATATCTTTCTCTGTACAATGCCACACTGACTTTATTTTATGCTTTTTTAGCCCTCAGCTTCATAATTATGGACAAATGAATAAAGTACTGGAGATATAGCTCAGTAGTTTAGAGTACTTTTTGATCTTGCAGTTTCCAGCATCAATTCCTTATTCATGCATGGTGACGTATCAGCCATTGGTACTCAGGTTTCAAAGGATCTATTGCCCTTTTATGGCCCCTGCATGCACAAGGTGAGCAGACCCTGGCACATGAATTAAAATACAGAAATCTTAAGAAAAAGAAACAATAAATGGCATGGGATTTGAAGTGGTCAAACTGAAGAAATAAATCTACAGTTTGTGATATGTAGCTAAGAGTTTTTATTGGTTTGCAATTCCTTTTATATATAAGTATCTTTTTTTAAATTCACAACTTCCAGTTGGCATTGGGGTTCTGGTTTGCTCTTGTGTTTCTTCTCCAGCTCTCTGTCTCCATGGATCCTCACTTTTTCAGGTAAGCAGCTTGGGTGCTTTTCCCCACAATGCCCTTGACCCCTTTGCTAATCACTTGTCCCTCTCTATAACTGGAATCCAGGATTCAGGTTCAGTGCTTAGCTGTGAATCTCTGCTTCTGTTTCCATCAGCTACTAGATAAAGGCTCTATGATGGTATTTATGGTATTCATCAATCTCATTATTGAGGAAGGGCATTTAAGGTTGCCCTTCCACTGTCGCTTATGTGCAGGGAAGAATTTTATTGCATGCAATCTTATTAGTCCATTCTTGTTCTTTTGCCCTGTTCATTTGTAGTCCTATTTAGAAATTAGCTTTCTATGTCTATATATTTGTGTATTGCTCTTTGGGCCACTCCTTAGGTTTCTCACAGAATTGAATTGTTCAAAGTTTCCTTCTTTTATTTGAGTATAATTACTTTCCCCATATGATTAATTGATGAAGCCTTCTGTTCTAACATCCGTTTTAAGTGTTTTTGTTGATACTCAGATGCTCAGAGCTCCCTGGGATGGTTTTCATCTGCTGCTCTTATAGCTTGTGCTGTCTTGTCTTCAGTTACTCCCATGGTGCTCTTGTATTTTTGGCTTTGGTGAAATCCCAGGTGGGATGGATCAATGTCAAGATATTCCCTGAGACTGTTCTGTACTCTCAGGTTGTTTGTGCCACCTTGGCTTTCTCGTGATTATTCTCGTGAACAATATTTATTATAGTGTTTTTCATAACTAAACTCCTTATTCTTCTGACTCCATACTTTGTCACCTCTTCTCTTAGGTTCCCTAGGATTTGAACCAGATGTTTGGTCACTGTCAGGATCTGGCAGTCTGTCTGATATTATAAACTTTAAAGATAATTATTTAAATGCCATATTCTGCAGGTCTCTGAAGCCATAGAGGGCTGGCTGTCTGTTTTAGTTACTTGCCTTGTGTGCACAGGTGTCTAGGTAAGGTCTTATTTCTGTAATTAATTTTCAGCCTGACTGTAACTGGTTTTTAACTTAGTAAAATATTTGAAACTTAGCACAGCTCAATTTAAACCTGCATAGAGTTACCTTATAGTCCTTAAATAGTAGCTACATGTACACATTTTAGCTGCTTGCTTAAATGAGACAGGGTTTTTCTGTGGCTTTGGAGCCTGTCCTGGAATTTGCTCTGTTGACCAGGATGACCTTGAACTCACAAAGATCCACCTGCCTCTGCCTCCAAGTGGTGGGATCAAAGGCGTGTGCCACCAACGCCCTAAATTTAACTTCTGAGAACATAAACTTTAACATCTTATGATAGATTAGCAGCATTTATAAAACAAGAACTTTACAATGTCAGGCTTTGCCTAAAAAATGATTCAGACCGTGATCGACTAGGTTTGGGGTTTGTTTGGTTTGATTTCTTTGGATTGATTTCCTGTGTGTGAGCGCTTGGGCAGCTTCTACGTCAGTGCAACAAGTGTGCCCAATGAAAGTCTTTACGAAAATGATCCAGCCTCTGGGGGGTTTCAGGGACCCTGAGTCTAGACATAGGGGGCAGGGCCAGGAGGAGCCTCTCAGAGGAACCAGACTGTAGGAACCCGAAATTGCTCCATTCCTTGGTGGAGCCAGCGCCGCGGTCAGAGGAGCTGCGGGGCTGGGACCCGGGAGGGAGGGAGGAGCGGGCTGTGCTCCCGAGCTGCTCACAAGGACCCCGTCAGCTCCCGCCGGCTGCCCGTGGGGTGGAGGAGGCGGCGGCTCAGCTCGTCCCCTGCGGCCAGGTGCGCTCGTTTCCACCCCACGAGCTGGGTGCTGCCCCGGGCGCCGGGCGCACCCCTTAAAAGTGTCCGTCTGTCCCGGTCTCTCTGGCTCCTGGTTTGCTCTCTGACCGCTCTCTGTCTGGGGTCTCCGTCTCTCCCGTCCCCATCCGAGACGCCCTTTGCTCTTTTGCTCGCCCTCCTCCCCAGGGACCTCTCCCCCTAGACCTGTTGCCCATGGCGAGTTCTCTTAGCGGCCAGGGGCGCAGCCAGAGCTGCCCAGTTTCCACCGCTTTATCCTCAGACACAGCTCTCAGTGTTGTGTTGTTGGCGTCTTTCCATTGATGGTGGGTTTCAGATGCCATGAAGCGGGCATTACTGTGTGTTGCTTTGTTTTAGTCTTCACTTACTTTATGTTTGGCCGAACATCAGGTTGTCATAAAATAATTCTTATAATAATTTAGTAGAGCATTTGCTTTGTCTGTTGTTTGCAAACAGGCTATCTATGCCATGGTGGTAATTCTAGAGCTCTCTTCCGTCACTCTATATGCATCCTCCCATTTTCTCCTGGCGGTAGAAATGTTCAGTAGATTTCTGGTGTGCTTTTGACTTTGGGGTTTTTTTTTTTTTTTTTTTTTTTTTTTTTTTTTTTTTTATATGTTGTGGCATTGACCATAATAGAGATTTTTTTTTCAGGTTTCTATTATTGACAATAGGATGTTAAATATCAACAAGAATTGCAGTATTTTTCTCTGAGAAACTTAGAGAAGAGCAACAAGAACAATGGATGCTTCTGTGGCAAGTGCTCCCCAGGTCAGTGTCATGTTCACGTTTCTCTGAAAATTGTTTTTATTATTGAAAACATTTAAACTTTAATTGTGTTCCACTGTCAATGTTATTCAAAGTGTTTATTTTTGCCTTATTTATCTGTTTTTTTGAGACATGATTTCTCTATGGCTTTGTAGGCTGCCAGCAACTCGCTCATTTATCCAGGATGGTCTCAAACTCAGAGTACTGCCTGCCTGTGCCTCCTGAGTGCTCAGATTAAAGTTTTCCACCACCACTTCCTGGCTCATTTTTTTTTCATTCTTTTTTTTTTTTTTTGATTTTCGAGACAGGGTTTCTCTGTGGCTTTGGAGGCTGTCCTGGAACTAGCTCTTGTAGACCAGGCTGGTCTCGAACTCACAGAGATCCACCTGCCTATGCCTCCCGAGTGCTGGGATTAAAGGCGTGTGCCACCAACGCCCTGCTCATTTTTTTCTTTTCTTATATTTAAGGTTATGCTTTAAATCTTTCAACTATGTATCTCAGACTTGACCCATTACATTTTCTTTTGGTTTCATACTACAAGGCGATGACTTTTCTTTTTTTCAATAAAATTTCATATATGTATATGACGGTTTATCTGGATATTGTTATGTACACTGCATGAATCATTATGCTTCTGAATTCCTGAGGTCAGCACCAGACAATTGGCAGTGAAATCAAACATTGTAGTTATTGCCATGTGTTCACAGAGAATTAAAGTTGGTGTCTCTGGAGGAACAAAAAGTGACTTTTACATCTCAGCTATGTCTTCAGTCTGGTGCAAAATTGTGACATTCTATGACACTGTGTATTCTAGTTTTTCAAAAAAGTAAAGGACTAATCATAAATGATACCTAGCTATGCTAAAATTCTGTCAGATGAATTAGCTCAGATACTGAAGTGACAAATATTTTTCAAATTAAGAGTTTTAAATGTGCCTTTTAGTCAATCTCATGAGCAATAATATACTTCATGGATATAATTATTCTTCATTTTATAACTTCACAAAGTATTTGATTTGATGTGTTGTTTAGAGCATTGGATATATGTAATGATTTTATACTCCCTACTCTCAAGAAAAAAACTGAATTTAATTCATCCATGGACTTTCATTCCATATCCATTAAAATTTTGTTTTATTTTATGTGTTCCCTTATGTTTGCCAGAAAGTATGTGTACTCTGTAGAACTCTTGCCTACAAAGCGTATCATTGAATCTCAAGCATCTGAGATTAAATCCTGTTTTTTAGTGCCAAGATTGAACTGGGAATCAAACTATATTTTCAAGGACTTTAAGACATTGCAGACTGTAAACTAGAGACAAATTTTTCAAATTTAGTGATTATGGCAACTATTTTATGCTAGTCACCTCTTAGAAAATATTAGAATACTCGTGGAGGAGAAAGACCCAATGGATGTAAGCAATGTACTGTGTCTTCCTATGAATTGTCTTTGAAAGAGTAGCAGTGCAAAGACTCTTTCAAAATACTTGTGTCCTTTCAAAATTGTCATGCCTCATCTATGTCACAAACATTTCTCTAATTCATTTATATCTTTTATTCCAGAAAACATTTTGTGACACAATGCATGGTAATTAGGTAATTTTCCATTGCAGGGGCTGTTATCATTCAGGGATGTGTCTGTGGACCTCTCCCAGGAGGAATGGGAATGTCTAGACTGTGCTCAGAGGGCTTTGTACATGGATGTGATGCTGGAGAATTACGGCCATCTACTTTTTGTGGGTAAGAGGTCTCTTCTCATGGAATTCCATATTCATTCTTTTTTTTATTTTCCTACTTTGTGTATCAGTAAAATGTGAAACTAGAAAATGCCTGAAATGAGGGAAATGTTTGAACCTACATAATTTTTTGATGTTGCTTCCTTTACATTTTTTGTGTTCTCTAGAAGGGTAAATAATGCTTTATTCACTGTAGCCCTCCTATCTAATATACAAAGAACATTTCAGAGTTCAAAAATATATAATTTTAGACCATGAAAATATATTGCAGTACTTATTATAAATAGAAGGATTTGTTACTGGATATAACTCTTCCCCTATTTCTTTTATAAAAATTGCAAAAGGTTTTAAAGGAAGGGCTGTTGGTCATGAGAACGTGGTTTTGTTTAGTAATTTATTTTTGAGATATGATGGCTATATTTAATACTGGTATAGCATGATTTTAGTATGTCCACTTTGGAACTTGAAGTGTGATCTTCATTCCTCCCTCTCTGCAACTTGGGTCCAGAGTTCAGTTCAGTGAATATATGAGGGAAATTAAGGAAGATTGAGTGTTTGATTGTTTTGGATTTGTTCTTGGTGATGTTATTGTGTGTATTTATCCCGGTTTTCCTCATGCCTTTAGTTAATGTGGGGCTATCTATTGCCTATGTTTTTGTGAGTGTAGTTAATTTTCTCATGTTTGAATTTTTTCCCAGTATTTTCTGTAGGACTGGATTACTGGATATATATTATTTAAATCTGGTTTTGTCGTGGAATATCTTGTTTTCTCCATCTATGTTGATTGAAAGGTTTGCTGGGCATAGTTTTCTAAGCTGGCATCCATATTTCCTCTTTTGTTTGTAAAATATCTATCCAAGATTTTCTGACTTTCAGAGTTTCCTTGGAGAAGACAGGTGTAATTCTGATAGCTTTGCCTTTATATGTTACTTGGACTTTTTCTTTGTTATGAACATCCATGTATTGGTTGTGAAACAGAAAATCCTCTGTTAACATTACTATCCCTGAAAGTTACTAGTTCATTTGTCTTAGGAAACCTAACAAATCGTCAGTTATTGAATCTGTTCCACATTCGTTGCTATTATTCACAATTGTACTAATTTTTCAGAGAATCATCGATTATATGGTAAACGTGAGAAAGTCTTGCACCAAGGCACAAATGATTGTATCCATGGTCATGAAAATATTCAAGAGAAGACTAATACCTGTAATGAGCCTGCCAAAGGGATTCATGAATCCTCCCAATATTCACCTTATGATATATGTGATACTCTTGAAAATAACAACAAGTGCAGATTTCATAGCTACAGAGGTGCCCCTGATGAAACCTTAAACCTCAACACACACAAAAGTGGGAATACTGGGGAAGAACCTTGCAAATATAACGAAAGTGGAAACTTTTTGTATTTGAGTTCCATCATTAGTGAAAATCAAAGAATGCACACAGGAAAGGAAGACTACAAAACTACAGAATATGATACATCTCTTGAGACTAATACAGAGATTAAACGGAAAGAAACTGATTGCAGAAAGCATCCACATCAATGTATGCAATGTGCAAAATTTTTCAAGACTCACTCAAGCCTTATTATGCATCAGAGATCCCATACTAGAGAGAAACCATATAAGTGTACACAATGTAATAAATCATTCCTGCAGTTTTCACAACTTAATGTACATTACAAAATCCATTGTAGAGAAAATGCCTACAATAGTATAGTATGTGGTAAGTCCTTTAATTGTTTATCAAAGATTCAAAGACGTTTGAGGATCCACACAGGAGAGAAACCTTACAAATGTAATGAATGTGACAAGTCTTTTAATGTTAAATGGAATCTTACAGTTCATCAGAAAATCCACACAAGAGAGAAACCTAACAAATATAGTGAATGTAACAAATCCTTAATCACAAAAGGCATTTTTGGAACTCATCAGAGAATCCAGAGTGGAGAGAAACCTTAGAAATGTAGTGAATTTGACAAATCCTTATCCACAAAGGACACACTTAGAGCCCATCAGAGAATCCACACAGGAGAGAAACCTTACAAATGTAATGAATGTGACAAGTCTTTTAATGTTAAATGGAATCTTACAGTTCATCAGAAAATCCACACAAGAGAGAAACCTAACAAATATAGTGAATGTAACAAATCCTTAACCACAAAAGGCATTTTTGGAACTCATCAGAGAATCCAGAGTGGAGAGAAACCTTAGAAATGTAGTGAATTTGACAAATCCTTATCCACAAAAGGCACGCTTAGAGCCCATCAGAGAATCCACACAGGAGAGAAACCTTACAAATGTACTGAATGTGACAAATCCTTATCCACAAAAGGCACGCTTAGAGCCCATCAGAGAATCCACACAGGAGAGAAACCTTACAAATGTAATCAATGTGAGAAATTATTTTCCAGCAAATACTCTCTTAGAAATCATCAGAGAATACACACTGGAGAGAAACCTTACAAATGTAGTGAATGTGAAAAATCCTTCACCACAAAACGAAGGCTTAGAACTCATCAGAGAATCCACACAGGGGAGAAACCTTACAAATGTATTCAATGTGACAAATTGTTTTCCAGGAAAGACAATCTTAGAAATCATCAGAGAATCCACACAGTCGAGAAACCTTACAAATGTATTCAATGTGATAAATCATTTTCCAGGAAAGACTATCTTAGAACTCATCAGGGAATCCACACAGGAGAGAAACCTTACAAATGTAGTGAATGTGATAGATCTGTAACCACAAACCACAAGTCTAAGAATCCACCAGAGAATCCACACAGGACAGACACCTCACAAATGTAATGAATGTAACAAATCCTTTTCCATGAAAGACAAACTTAGAACTCATCAGAGAATCAACACAGGAGAGTAACATTACAAATGTTGTGAATTTAACAAATTATTTGCTAGAAAAGTCCATCTTGGAACTCAGAGAGAATACATATATTAGATAAAATTTAGAAATGCAGCAAGCTTGCGAAATGCTTTACTGTTTTTTCAAAATCTTAAAATATGTTCTGGATTGCTTCAGCATTCTGAAACCCGAATTTTAAGAATATCTACCATGGTTAAGAGTGTGGAACCCAGGACTATTGGCATGAAGTAGCCATAGTGACTACTAAGGAGTTTGAATACTTACAGACACACAGGAAGGAGTAGGACTTGAGTGTTTGAGGTATTCTGGTTTGAAATTGTTGATGAGACACACTCTTCTGTGTCTCTGGCCCAAAAGGAAGGTAATTTGGTTGCTTTTTGACCTGTCTGAACTAGCAGGTTTTCACTCTAGCATCTGACTCCCTAGGCATCTTAGAATACATCATAGAGTACTTTCAGAGATGAACCTTCCAAGTATCTTTATCTTAGTTTTTGTTTTACTGCTCTGAAGAGACACCTTGACCAGTGCAATGCTTTTAAAGGAAAACATTTAATTTCCTTTCAAAAGAAATTAAATCTGAAATTTAGTCCATTATCATCATGGTGAGAAAGAGTGACATGCAGCAGACACTGTGCTAGAGAACCAGCTAAGTCATGGTCTACATTTTGATCCTCGGGAAGCAGGAAGTGAACTGTGTGCTAGTTGTGGCTTGAGCACATAGGAGAACTGCCTTGATGGTGAAACACTTCTTACAATGCCACACCTACTTAAACAATGGTATTCCTCCTAATAATGCCAGTCCCTATGGGTGAAGCATTCAAACATGAGCCCTTGGGGCTATACATATTGAACTATACATATTAAAACCACGATAGTAGTCAAAAGTAGAAACGTTTTGTCTGAAAATCATTTTGATAAAACATCCAAATATTCATATAGGAGTGAATACTTTCAAATATACGAACAAAAGTCTTTAACTGCCTTTCAGGTCTAAGAATGCTTGAAAACTCATTTTTGGGAGTAAATTTTCCATGTTAAGAATTTGGTATGTCCTTGAACCAAGTCGTATTCTTAGGCTCTTGGGACGCCACACTAGAGAACTATTATGAACATGAAAAATGTTTGAAAGACTTTAAGTTATTTTCAAATCTTAGGGTGACAATTTTTGTTAAGATTTTATTTGTTCAACCTCAAATACTTCATAATGAAGGAGTAATGCTGAAACCTAATTATGTGCTGTTGTGTAAGTGTCCTGGAGACAGTAGTGTTCCATTTTGAAGGAAAGCTGATGGGAGCAGGAAATACAGCACTCAAAAGAGCTTCAAGAAATCTCCAAACCCAACAGGATTCAGTGTGCTTAACTCACATGAAGAAACAGAGAAGTCATGCACTATAGAAGACTTTAAGCATGAAGATAGGATTCTCTTTCACTTATAGCTATGCCTACAGGTGTGCACTATCCTCCAGGTGTGCATTATCCAAAAGCTGTATCACATGCTGGTTTTGACTTTCATGATAGCAACTCTGTTTGGGTCAAGTATGCTGTGGTAAGCAACTGCTCCCCATGCATCTGATGTCAATTCCAGTAAAGCTCTTTGGTTCAAAAAGTTGAACTTCATTCTGTTTACAGTTTGCAGATGGGTGATTACAGTTTACAGTAGATGAATATCCATGTTGCAGTTTCCCAGGAATTATATTTCATAACCAGCTGCTGAACTCACTAACTGTTTTTCCAAATTTGTTGAAAAGAGGAACTTGATTATACCACAGCAGTTCTCAACGTGTGGTCCATGACCTCTTGGGATTAAAATACCCTTTCACAGGGGATCCTAAGATAAAGGAAAGCTTATTTTCAATGATATTAGGAGCTGAGATACCATGCTTTTGTTATCTCCTCATGTAAATTTGCCAGATTTGCTTTTCTTGCGTACGTGAAGTAAATCTTCTGGAGCTTCATTGTGGATTTGAGTTAATTATATAAAATTTATCACTGTGATTTTAACAATAATGTGTGTGTTCTATTGCCTGTAAATGAAAGGTTTTCTGATCATCAGCCTCAATTTCTTCAGTAATTCCAAGCTTCCATTTTACCTGTGTGTCATTCAGTTTAGCTAATTTTTCTGTTATCTCTTTTTCAGTTACTGTTGATCTTTGAGTGAATAATAGAAGCAAGAATATTTATTGTAAATATTTTCCTTATGCTTGGTTATTTATAGGATGGAATGTTCTGCCCCTAAATAGGCACTGATATGTCCCCACATGGTTTGTTTTATTTTTTTCTTTATGTTTTATAAATAATAAATATTGATATTTAATGTTTTTCATAGGTGTATTCATTTACCATTACCCCTTCATCATCCTCTGTCCCCTACCTGGCGAGACATATCTTCTTCCCTGTGTTCCTCCAATTTTATTTATGGCTTTGGTCCAGGTGGCCAGTCCTTAATATATCCATAATCCTAACTCCATGTCATATGGCAAGAGAGTTTTTCATATGTCACTTCTGTATCCTTCAGCTCTTAAAATTGTTTGCCTCCTCTTCTCTAATGTCTTTGTAAATTAGATAGGGGAATATGGAATTCTCCTAGTAATCTTCCCCCATAAACAGTGCATTGTTCTAAGGATTTAACCAGTTATGAATCTCTGAAATAACAGTGCATTGTTCTAAGGATTTAACCAGTTATGAATCTCTGAAATAACTGCTGCCCATTGAAAACCATGTTTTTTAGAGCTAAGTTGAGATCCAGACAAGTATAGGAGTGTCAAAGGCAGTTTGAAAAATTTTATATGTAAAAAAAAGGCAGGAGCAGATTCCCTCATATGGACTGTTGCCTTTCCC